GATTGCTACCGCTTGCTTTACCCAAAATCGATCCATCCTAAATAAGCGATTCTCAATAACTCCTTATGAAATCATAAATAATCGCAAACCTAATGTTAAGTTTTTCCATGTTTTTGGCTCCAGGTGTTTCATCTTCAACTCCAAAGAACAACGGAACAAGTTTGATGTGAAAGTTGACGAAGGTATATTCTTGGGATATTCACTAACATCCAAGGCATATAGGGTTCTCAACAAACGTTCAAAGAAGATTAAAGAAACCTACTATGTCACGTTTGAAGACAATTATCTAAAGAGAATTCAGTCGAACGAAAGCCAGATCATGGAAATATTTCCTAAACCTTGTCCAGCCGTTATTCCTGTTTCAAACCTTTATGAAGAATTCATGTTACTCTTTGATGAACCTGAGAAAGTTATCACATCTGAAGCTAAGGAAACGGATAATAAAGTCGACGAAATTAAGAAGATTATCGATGATGTTGCGAAAGACATGGCACAACAGCCATCCAATGCGAATGTCCCTCGAGACACGCGCACAACTTTCCAGGGGGAGAATTCTGGGTCTAACCCACAATTCCAGGGGGAGGATGCTACACCTCTAACCACGAATGCTTCTATGCAGGGGAAGGGTTTTGCATCACCCATTTCTACTGAGCCTACTTCTGATGGAGATTGTTCCCCACCAACTATGACCCACGAAACTCCATTCACAGGTGTTGATTCAATTCCTGAGGTCAGCGAGTTCACATCATTCGAGGGGGAGAATAAAGAATTGAATGATGACTCAGACGCTAAATCTGTTCAATCTGAATTCGAGGAAGTAAATGTTGAGCTAAATCCATCCTTAGATCCAAATTATCCTCCTATGACCAAATGGACAACAGATCACCCAAAAGCTCAAGTTATTGGTGAATCCTCTGCAGGTGTCCTTACCCGTTCTCAACTGAAAGTGAAGCAAACTGCATTATTCTCCAAAGTAGAATTTTGTATGTTTAATTCGTTCGTATCCAAGATTGAACCCAAAACCGTCAACACTGCTCTTGATCACTCTGACTGGGTGCATCCAATGCAAGATGAACTCAATGAGTTCGAACGAAACAACGTTTGGAGACTGATTCCAACTCCCCCAGATGCATTGTTGGTTTAAAATGGGTGTTTCAGAATAAAATGGATAAAGAATGGATGTGAAGTGTGCATTCTTAAATGGCGAACTGGAAGAGACCGTTTATGTGGAGCAACCACCTGGATTTGTAAATGAAAAATATCCCAATCACTATTATATTCTTGACAAAGCAGTTTACGGTCTAAAGCAAGCTCCAAGAGCCTGGTATGAAACACAAACTCGTTTTCTTAAAATGTCCAAATTCAAGCAAGGTTCGGTTGACCCAACCTTCTTTCGCAAGATAGAGGGTGACCACTTGATGATCGTACAAATTTATGTTGATGACATCATCTTCGGATGTACTAATCCCAGCCTAACAGCTGAGTTCCGAAAGCTGATGGAAACTAAATTTGAAATGAGCTCAATGGGTCCAATTAACTTTTTTCTTGGCTTAAACATTAGACAGGGACTGGAAGGGGTTTTCATCAATCAGGAGGCTTACACGAAGACCCTACTTGCTAAGTTTGGAATGATGGGAGACTCAAAGACGAAGGTTCCAATGGCATTCGGAACAAAACTGACTCCTTCGCTGGATAAACCAGCTGCTGATATGACCCTTTATCGTCAGATGATAGGTTCACTCATGTATCTAACAGCTAGTAGACCAGATATTATGTTTTCAGTTTGTTATTGTGCTAGGTTCCAAGCCAACCCACGCGAACCTCATATGGTGGCTTTCAAGAATATCTTCCGGTATCTAAAACGAACGTCATCTCTTGGAATATGGTATCCTGCGAACTCAGGTTTTTTCGTACAAGCATTTTCAGATGCTAACCTAGGCGGTTGCAGTTTAGATAGAAAAAGCACAACTGGTGGATGCCAATTTTTTGATGGCAATCTGGTGAGTTAGCAATCAAAGAAACAAACATGCGTTTCATTGTCAACAGCTGAGGCTGAATATATAGTTGCAGCTTCGTGCACATCTCAAGTCATTTGGATTCAAAGCCAACTTCGCGATTATGGCTTAACTATGAAAAGAATTCCTCTCTATTGTGACTCCGAAAGTGCCATTCATATTTGTCACAACCCAGTGCAACACTCAAAGACGAAACACATAGCACTGAGGTATCACTTTATCAAGGATCATGTGGAAGATGGCAATGTCGAGATTCATTTCGTAAGATCCGCTGATCAATTGGCTGACATTTTTACCAAGGCCCTACCTGAAACAACATTTAATAGAATTCTTCAAGGGCTAGGAATGATGGAAGCTGATTCAGTACCAAATCCACTATCGCACTCATAAAATGTTCACTGCGAATCGGTGCGAACGCTCGCAGGCTTTTGGAGTCAGCTGTTCATTCACAGTCTATTTTATCGATGCGAATCAATGCGAACGTTCGTAGTAGTTCGCAGAGCACTGTTCATTTGTGGTTTGGTATTTCATATATCCTTTTGTACATTTTGTATCATTGCTTATCTTTATTTTCAATTTGTATATTTTATTTTTTTTAATTAATTTAATTTTTTTTATTTTTATTTCATTTTCAGAAAATCTCCAAAACCAAAAATAATTTATTTGTTTTATTTTATTGTTTTTCAGAAAAATCAAAATCACAAAAAATATTTTTAATTTGTGTCTATTTTTATTTCTTTTCTTTTTACAAAACATTAAAAATTCCAAAAACTATAGATTCACACCAAGATCATAGAAGAAGATGTTCGCAACATTTATCAACTCGTGTGACGGGGCAGGTATAAATCTAGTTACTTATGTATTAGCTAAGTGTCCCTAGAAGCATGCTACTGCATGTTGACCTAAGCCTCAACGACTCAACTGTGAAGCCTTAATGAGTTGATACCACCGATCAATTCTTCCAAATCAGGCTACGAATTCACATTAGTCATGAGCTACCTTACTCTTCTCACATTGAGTTAAGAGTTATCTGCATGGTCACTTTCGCATTGCAGAGGTACTTTCACTTTCTTGTAACCATCTACTCTCTTCTCCATCACTTTCGCATCCATACATGTAACCCTTGAGACACTCAGAAATTACCACTGAGGTTTATGGTTACACAAACATCTGTGTTAATGATCTTAGTTTCGTTCTACCACGAACTGAGTGAAACCCAAAATTCAATACCTTATACGAGTTGACAGTGAACAATCAAACGTTCTAGTATTTTCACCCAAGAATTAACGAAAGTCCACATTCGTGGTCAGTACCAAGAAATCTATTTTCTTTTGAGAGATCCTAATGAAGTGTTCTCTTCCCAAGAAATTTCCTCCAATGGATCCAGTTTAATTTATTTTTGATATTTCAATATTTTTCCAAGTCACTTAAATAAATTCCAAACCTACTCGTTCAACTGACTACACTGGTCACACGAGTACCTCCTCCAACTTTCGCACTTATGTCAAGTTCGTAGTTTGGTTGAAGGATGAACCACCTTTATAAGCCTTATTAAAAGATGCCTTTCAATGTTTCTCATCAAATATTTGAGCGTATTCAACAGGAAATAACACAGACACTTCTTAGTCTCTCTTCACTATGAAGAAATAGATCTTTGCCTAGGATCAATAGATTTATGTCTCTAGTTAGACATCACAACATCCCACAGATAAACTTCGTTTTATTTCTTTTTCTTTGACACTCTTACACGAAGATCCTAGTGTTTTTACAAAGGTCTAGTTCGTGGTTACAAATAATTTTCAGGTTTGCAGTTGTACCCATGATTAGTGACACTGAACGTCCGGGTGTATGAATTCAATGTGCTTTCTTTATTGCGAAAGGAGATGAGCTGACGCGGCAAGTTTTAAAAGATAAGAATTCAAACGGGCGCGTGCAAAGTTGAACGGACATATATTAATACGCTGCGTGACGCACGCTTCTGACTTATCACAGCTGTCAAATCGCGCTTTTTTAGGTGACGGTTCAGTATTTAAGATACTCTCTCTCTCTGGATTTTCCTCACCAAATCAAATCGTATATAAAGGTTTTGACTGTTCCATATCTCTTTACGAATTTCAAAATCTCTAAACGATTTCTGTCGATCACAAAGCTCTCCACTGTTCATCTTCTTCTTCAAGCTTCATCAATGGCGGCTTCATCTGAGAATCTTTTTGTTCAAGACCAAACTGCTCATTCAACTCTTCTGGCCATTAAGCAACAACAAAACCTCATCATTAATCTGGATCCAGTTAGATATGATCCCTTTCTACTACCTCTTATCGAGTGCCTAAAATACTCCCCTCTCACCATTGCTTTGTCTCAAGTTGATAATGTTCCAATATCGATTCTCTCCAAAGCATACACGACGGCCAACTATGTCAAGGAAGAACAACGGATAAACTTCGACATCCATAATCATACAACCTCGATTTCTAAAACCCGTTTTTGTAATCTGTTAGGGTTTCCTCAGTCTGAAAACATGGTCAACCCGGAAACCAATTCCAACGCTGCTATCTTGGAAATGTTTTATCAAATGGGGTACAAGGAAACTCTCACTGTTGTTTCCAAGTTCAAGAAACCCAATCTTCCACCTACATGGAACGCCTTATTCACTATCATGTTCAAAGCTTTTTCTGAAAGGGTCACTGGCAACGACTGTGCAAGCAAGCTCTTCATGGGTCTGATGTTTAGCCTTTATACTGGTCAAAATGTTGATATGGTTCTATCCTCTGGGCTCAACCTATCCAGAGCACTCATTTTGTTACTCGTCACAGTGAGATCTCATGTGTGAGATTCTGGACCATCGTCGTTAACAGAGCAATGCAGCAGCTCAAAATTCCAGTGATGTCTAATGCTCTGATGGCTTCTATTGCAACACTCCATACAACTGGTATCATTATGGCTGATAGGTCAAAGTTTTCTTTCATCGGCTCGATTCCGGAAGCTATGTTTCATGATGTTCCTCCCTCCAGTAAAATTCTAGAGGGTTATCGCTCTTTTACTCCTTCAGGACCTCGTCCATTGACTGAAGAATTCCAAGCAATTTTGGCTGAGGCGGATAAAGCCAAGAAAGGGGGCAGAGGGTCAAAGAAAGCTACCAAGAAAGACACTGCGAAAAAAGGACCTTCTGAGGCTGCGAAACCTCCCTCTAAAAAGCGAAAGGCTCCTGCTGCTTCTACTGCTGCACCAAAGAGAAGGAAGCAACCCGCTAAAAGGAGAAAGTCTCCCACTCATACTCCATCTCAGAGTGAAGGAGTAAATTCTGAATCCGATACTGAGTCGGAGATTCGCATTGAGGAGGATCCCCCCATTCGTAATGCAGAAGATGAGCCCGTTCGCACTGAAGAACAAGAACATGTTCACAATGAGGAGGGAGAACAGGTTCACAACGAACCTCCTGTTCGTACTGAGGCTCCATCTCCGAATCGTGAGGTAACTCACCACTTAATGATTATGTTCCTTCTCCACCTCCCTCACCAAAAACAACTACTTCTATCCCAATCACCATCGCACCTCTGCCTTCACCAGTATCATCTCAACCACCCACAACTATTCCAGTCTCAATCCCTATTTTCACAGAATCCACCATTTCACCCCACACCTCTGTTGCACCTGCAAGTTCAGTCAACGTATCTGATACGGGGGCTAACAGTTCAGGTTTTTCAAGCCATGTTACACCACCCATCTCTCCCATTCGCACGGATGACCCGGAAATGATTTTCGGAGATGATGAAGATGATGATATAGACGGATTCACTTACAGTCCTTTTCAAATAAGGATTGACAGTGAATATGAAGCCTCTACTACGAAAGGGGAACTCAAATCTCTTATGAGAAGATTGAACAGCTGATTCTTGCATCCAAAGTCTCCACTTCTGAGGCTTACTCCAAAGCCGCTGTTGAGTCAATCCTTGACCGAGTTACGAAGGAACATACTGCTAATGTATCTACTTTGTCCAATGTAGTTTCTGACTCTACTAGTGTCTGTAAGTCACCGACCGAAAAAGTTGTTAAACTAATTGCTGACACAATAGAATTCATGGAGGATTACAAGAATACCTACAATGCCAACACAGTGACTGCGAAGAAGGCTATTCATAATGTCGGTGCCATGTTCCAAGCGGAAAAGGCGAACTTTGTTGAACTTCACAAGGCATTTTAGTCTGATCATGAAGCATTCCAGTCTTCTATCGCTACGAAAATCACAAAGCTTCAGGAGGAACTGGCGACAGAAAACAAGATAATGGATGCTCTCGCCATCAAGGAGGAAAAGTGTAAAGTGTTGGAAACCAAGCTTCACTACACTAAAAAGCAGGTCGATGATTTGCTAGCAGAGAAGGCAGTCACGAGAAGTTGTATCTCCGATGATACTAGACTGCTCTCTGATATCATTGAGTCTTGTGATCCCATGATCTGCATAACAGTAAAGAAGCATTTGACTGAAAAGCTAAGACCGGTGTTTGCTATGTTACACCGTTTGGAGGATGTATCGACGCCAATGTCTTTTCCGAAACAAGGGGGAGAAGGTGGCTTCAAAGTTCAAACGAATGAAACCCCCAAAGCTCCAATTAAACCTCCTGTCATCAAGCAAGAACCAAAGAGAAAAGCAACGCTATTCGGAGATGAACCCATTATTGATGATAGCGAAGACGAAGAGCCTGATGAAGCTGAGCTCAAAAGGCGGAAGGCTCGCGAGGCAGAGACGAACATGCTTGCATTGTCAAAGAGGCAGAAGAGAAAGAAAGAGCCGAAAAGGAAGCTCAGGCCACTGTTAAAAGTAGAATGTTATTATTTACTAAGTGGACCCTGAAGCGCATTCAAAACCAAGTCGTGGATATTCCAAGCCAGTATTGGTTGGATCCAATTGCTTCCTTTGAAATCCAAAACACACAGGACTCGCAATTGGACCTACCAATCACACGAAAGGCGTTCAGGTTTCGTGCCTTTGTAAAGGTTGCTAATGTACCTTTCACAGACAGCACTGTGGATCAAATGTTGTTTGCTTTCTACTTGAAGCACATGAAGCCCCAGTTCGAGACTTGGAGTGTGAACAAGATTGTTTCTGTGAAGGTCACTAGGCCAATCAAGACCGAAAGCTTCCCTAATGCGAAGTTTATAGTAGTGAGAGGATCAACATGCCAAGCCTACGAATTCACTCCCGCAGACCTTCCTTGCTTGAACCCCCATGACGGGATGGTGATATATAATATTCTGGTGAGAGAGAAGGAGAAGTACGAACCTGTGGTGTCCCATCTTCAACTTTTGATCAATTCATATATTCAGGAAGTTGGAATGATGGATGTGGATATTGCCACTGTTTTGAGGCAGAAACCAAGTGTTGTTCCAAAGGAAGCTCCGAAAGACTTCGAGAAGCTCAAGCCAGGAAAAATTTACAAGGATGGTTTGTGGTATACACGTCTAGAGATCGTCCATGAGCAGATCGACGCAAGTTATACTTTCATCTCGAAGACAAACACCTATTTACTACTACTTGTCTGGAGTTCATTTTGGAGCTGGTTGCGAAGTTTAAGGGCAACCACAAGGGTGACGTGAAGTGTTTCACGGACGTGATCACATGGTATATTCAAGTTCGCAAGCTGTTGTTGAGCTTCATTCCCAAACTCTACGAAGTGCATAAGCGAATCAAGAACTAAATGGCTATGGTCTCAATTGACGCAAAGGGGAGATTGTTGAAGATTTAATGTTGTGTCATTGGGCCTGTTTGGTTTAGTCCATTTTGTATAAACGAGTTCGGCCTGTCCTCTCGTATTTGCTGCTAGGGTTATAGTATATAAGGTGTATGCATGCTACATATTTTAGTTAACTTTCATAATTATCTTTGTAACCCTATTTTACGCCTCTACAGAAGCAATTCTTCATCGAGTTCTTATGAGGCGTGACTGTTAATCATTCAGCACCAGTTTGATCACATTGTGTTCTTGTTTACCTGTTTTTTAATCTATTAGATCATTAAGGATTTATTCCTATCATATTCCTTTTACACTAAGAGGGATAAAAGCAATATATGTGGGCCCCTCGATGATTAGTGATGATACCCTAAGCGCTTGGCCAAGCCTGGACTGATTTGATTTGTTCGATTAGTCGATCGTCATAAATCAGAAATCGGGAAACAACACATGGACAGAGAGAATGATTATAATCCATGTCTCATGTACATACGAAATCTAGAATGGAGGAATATATGATCCCTTATCTAATGGACGCGTTAGAATTCGACAGCGGCTTTTGAGAGCTTCGATTTTTAGTCGGGTTTTCAAGTCGTACTTGCAGTTATAGTTATTAGACTTATCCAAGTGGGAGACTGTTGGATTAGGTGTCTGAGCTCATAAATATAATTGGTATGTACTTGACCCGAGAGTAGCATGGTCCATTTTGGGTTGCATTCACCAGAGCAATTTGATTGGATGGATATTTAAGAAAGAGGTTATTTGTGATTTATTAATATATTATAAGTATAATATATTAGTTGAGATATCATATTATTTAATTAGTATTGATCAAGAATTAATTTGGAATTAATTTAGTGATCAAAAGAGACTAATTAAATTAACGGGGACTGATTATGTAAATCAGTTATACGTATGGTTTGGGCTATTGATCCATGATGGACTAAGTTTATGTGAGAGTCCATGAAGAGTTATTCCATATGAGTTATTGGATAAGAAGCCTAAGTGTAAGAATTAGGGTTTACATATGACTCTTGGAATTCTACACTATATATGTATTCCCTTAAGCCCAAAATCCACACACAAGTGTCATAACATGAGTATAGCCGATTTTGTGTGCTCCAACCTCTATCTCATTTGTCCTCCTCTTGCTCTTGGTGTTTTGTGAACCATTTGAGGCATCACACTTGAGGTGATAAGCTCTTGAAAAGACAAAACTCTACAAGCTACAACAAAGAGGTAATTGTTTAACTTGTTTTATGTTTCAAATATCAAGTTGTATGCTAGTTATAGGTTTCACGCTTTGGATATTTTTTGTTGCATGTGTAACTAGTGAAAACTTAGATCTGAAGCATTAGGGTTGTATGTGCACCATAGGAGTGTTTTAATACATAAAACCCAATAGTTCCCATGACTGTTTTGTCTGAACTCTGTCATGACATGACAATCAGCTGAGGTTGACTTTAACATTGTGTAATATCCCAAGAATTTAGGTATTTCTAACTTCATCCCTTGGTTTTTAATGTATGTTATTTTGGCTGTTGGATTGGATGGAAGTAGTCATGGGAAGCCCTAGTGGCAAATTTGTAATTTTTGGGGCCCAGGAGGAGTACGCTAAGCGTACATATGGTTAAGTTAAGTGTATTAGGGGGCACCCTAGTATGTTGGGCGTACTCATGTCTGATGGAAACCCTATGTTTTAGAGATTTGTGGGGTATTTAAGCACCCTTATGGCTCATTTATCCCCACCTTTTCAACCTCCAAAGTCTTAGAGTCGTTCGTTCAAAACCCTAGCCTCCTAGAGTGAGATTGAGAGCCCTAAAGTGTGTTCTTGGTGTCTTAGAAGAAGGAGAAGTGCATCAAGAAGCTTGGAAGCCTGAAGCAAGGATCGGATATGGAAGTTTGGCTCTCTTCTCCACCATCTAAAAGTATAAAGTTTAAACCTTTATGGTTTGTTTGATAGATCTCATGTTTGGGTCTTCTTATGTTTCTTTTTGGTCCCAAATGCTCCATCATGAGCATGGCATGCCCTGGATGTTTTGGGTCATCCTTTCAGACCCTTGGAGGGGTCCTTAGTCATAAAAGTGAGGTCCCAATGGCTAGAAGTGTCTGATGCATTTAGTAGAAGGGTCTTAATGGATTAATACCTTGTATTAAGAACTTTTGGAGATGTAAAGTCATAAAGTTGGAGACTTTATGACTCTAGGGTGTATTTGGACCATAGATATATAGTTTGGGCTTAAGTGCTTAATCCATTAAGCACAAAATGAGGCTTTTGGATCTACGAGGGTACACCATGCATAAGGGGGAGTACGCCCCGCATACTCGGTCAGCCACCCCGATGTGAGTCAATGTGAGGCTCGGTGTACACCCCGCATACCGCAAGAGTACGCCTTCTGTTGGATTTCGGAATTTAGGCTTCAAGTTTTGGGCCACCTTTTGGGCTTGAATGATTGGGCGCTTATTAGACTATCTAAGTATGAGTGTTTTGGGCCAAGTGAAGGGTTGGACCTTAGGATAAGGCCCAGAAAGAAGCTTGGGCCCAATTTGGAAAATTGGGCCAATGATGGGTCTTGAATAATTTTGGGCTTTTGGATCAAGAATTGGGCTTCGGTCTTGATCCAATTGGGGAAAGGGTAAAGTGGCCATTTACCCTATGTATGGGTTATTAGTGAAGGATGGTAATCCAATTATTAAATGGATGTTTATTGTTGTGATAGTTCGAGGATTTTAGTGGGCCAGCAGCCGGAGGTTTTATGTATGATTCGTTAGTGTGAGGTGAGTTGTCCTCACTATACTCTCGGGTCAAAGGCACCAATGTCGGCGCTTTGGATTGTTATCCTGGTTTATTGTATGCTTGCTATGCTGTAGTGATCTATTAGATCGGCATCATGGTAGATAGGATGTGTTATGCTATAGTGATTCGCTAGACTTGTATGACTGCCTGTATATGCTAGCTATGTTTGATTATGTTATATGTGGATATGTGATGGTTGGTTGGGTTGAGACGGTCATGCTGTGTGCAGAAGGTCAACAGACCCAAGGCGGATCGAATAGACTGAAGGCCTGTGAGGCGGAACAGTCAGGTCGAAGGCCCGGAGAACGGTCCAGACATGCTAAAGGCCCGGTGCGGCGGTCCAGACACGTTGAAGGTTCTGTAGGCATGATGTTGCTATGATATCTATGATTATGTGGTGTGGTGGTATTTTGGGGAAACCCACTAAGCGTTGGGCTTACAGTTTTGGGTTATTTTTAGGTACCTCATATGATCATGGGAAGGCAAAGGCTTGATCGTGCACCTCCTCATGTTATGTTTTGTGATTTTGGGAACAACTCTGATGATAAACATACTTTGAAAATTACAATGTAAAAAATTATGATTTTGTTTGGTTTGAAAATGTTTAAATTTTTATGAAATTTTATGAATGTTACAAGTTGGTATCAGAGCCTTGGTTTGAGTGAATTGGAGTAACAC